AAGGAAGGAAGGAAGGAAGGAAGGAAGGAAGGAAGGAAGGAAGGAAGGAAGGAAGGAAGGAAGGGAGGGAGGGAGGGAGGGAGGGAGGGAGGGAACATATCCAGCTACCAAAATCTCAAAACTCACTTTGTGTATCTTCATCCAAAGAACTGCTGTCTTGTAGCTTGGCTGGACAGGGAAGTAGAGGGGAGGGAAGTAGGGTCCAAGCAGGTATGATCAAACAGTGGACCATTTGTTTCTGAGCAAAGTAATCTTTAGACAGTTCATCATTTCCAGGACCATTGTTATGCTAATTCCCCAGACTTAAGGAAACCTTCAACTCTTTCCCTTTCAGAATGGAATCATTCCTCCATCAAGAGTTAATTTTAAAAAGAGAACAAACAGAAGGACTTGATGTTTGGCAAGCCCAGGGTTAGAATGTTCCCATATACACATACACATTAGAAGAGAAGTATCTTAGTATTCATGATACTAAGCAAAAAGATTTCAATTAGGCATGAAAAACAAATATCACAATTTATCTCAATTCTTCAAACTTTTGTGTTCTAAAGGTATTTTTTTCACTTTTCTTTCTTTCTTTTTTTTTTTTTAAAGTGTCTTTCAATTCAAGTTACCCTTATTCTGGGTCCTTTTTTTCCTTCCCTTTGGTCAAAGCATTTCTGAATTTCTGCCAAGAAGTTACTATGTAAAGCCTGTTGTACTCAAGAGTTGGATTCCCATTCCTGGAATCATGACTAGCAACCCCAAAATAGAGTGCATTGTTTTTTCAGAAGGAAAACAAGAGAGGAAAGAAACCTTAGGAACAAATAGAGAAGGATGAAGCCAAGCGACAGTTACAGACTCTTCAAACTCTTCAATAGGCATTTAGATTGCCTACAGATGAATTTAATCTAGATGGTAGGAAAATCTGCCTTTGAAGTATGGTCAGCTCTTATAAATTAATTTTATGCAAAGCTACCTATTTTTGCTTCCTCCCTACTTTCATTCAGGAATCAGCATCTTTACAAATATTTGCAGGGCACGACACCTTGGAATGTCCTGTTTCTGCTACAGAACACACTTTTTTTTTATGGACACAAAGTGAAACTTCATCACAATTACATTGCAGACTTGTTCCCTGGGAGAAGAAAAATGTCACAGTTTGTGCAAGAGGGGATTAAGTAGACTATGAAACAGATTTTGTTCACATGATAGTGAAAGCAAATGAGCTAGCAAAAAAAGGCCATTTTTTCAACAAAGAAATTCTGTGAATTGGCAGAAAGATTGAGTGCTGATGTGTAGAGGATATTTCAAGAAACATCCTTTGTCAAAGTAAGGATATCACTGAATCCTTTTCCAAAGATTTATACCAAATTACCTTGTCAACTTTATATGTTATGTGCTGATTTTTTTTTGCTGATTTTCATCCCATACAAGTTCAATTTTATTGTTATATTAGCTTTTGATCCCATAATATTAATTGCTATTAAGAACAGAAAGTTGAAAAGCACAGAGAACTTGGCTGCAGAAAACAGAAGAAATTTGAGGTTGGCAAACTTATTTTTCTTTTGTAGGGGAATAGAATAATTGATTAACATTGCTAGCAAATTATATTCAAACAGGAAGGTTATTAAATCAGCAAAAGAATATGAAAAGAAGAACAAGCTTGAAAATGAAAGAATGTGAAATGTGAAAACATTTCTACAAACTCTATGGAACTTTACAGTGGTTAACTAATTCTTTCTGATACCATTAGGACTTTTATAATGACAGCAGGAGGGAATTTAATTTCTACTCCAGAAGTTTCAAATCCTTTCACTTGAATTAAGAGGACCTTTCCTAACAACATGTTTTACAGTATGCACTGAATGTGGCTGATTCTATACATTTAACAGCTGATGACAAGATCATTGTTTCCCTGTGACATGCATGTCAATAAAGTGTTTTTAGCTAAATAAAATATGAGTTACTGATTAAGACATTCATGAGAAAGAGATATGAGACAAGATGAGACAAGACAGTGATTTGGGCCTGCGCTCCACGTGTGTCAGCATTACAAAGGTAAGCTTGAGAAACTGAAACAGAAGAAGTGACAACCCATCCTTGGAAAGTTCAGTCCCTTTGAAGGATTTCAAATTGTACACACAAAAGAAAGGATCCACTAGAAACACTAATTCTCTCACAGATATTTCCCAGCAGCATTTGAAAAGCATTTATATATGTCCAGTATAAAAATACATATTTAACTCTTATATGTTAATCTTCCCAGGTTAGAAATACTTGTTATCTGACTGGATTACCTCAGCTATGTAACGGGAAACCTGACTTGTCTCTCTTCTGTTTTTAAGCAGGGAAACAGTTCCATAAAATTTAATATCTACATTGTAAGGACATAGTCAACATAAAAGAGCTTGTGAAGTCATCAGCCCAAGTTTAGAAATCAATTGGAGCATTTAATTTAGGATTGAGCAGATTCTCAATGTGGGCATATTCAACTCTACTTACCTCTCCACCAATAGATACAGACTTTGGCACTTAAGATGTAGAGGACCACTGCAACAGACAGCTAAAACTGTTGTACATTTGAGTTGCATAAACTAGAACCTCTCCCAAACTATCTAAAAAACAAGCTTTCACAATGATGTCACAGGGAAGAACTGTTAAGGTCCTGAAAGTGTCATAAGGTCATAAATCTTTTTTTCTATTCTCTCTGAGTGGTAGGCAAAAGGGAGTAGAAGACTTAAATATAAATACAGTTCACAGTCCTGTAAAACTGATTCCACAGATAACACTTGAAGCTATATCAAATGGACATGAACAAAGTTTTCCTATACAAAACTTCCTTATGGAGCTCGCTGGCCAAAACACAATATAAGACTACCAGTGAAATCAGATTGCAAGGGACACACTGTTTTATTTTTCTAATCCATGTTGGTGCATATTCAAGTCTAATGAATATAAAACGCATGTGTATCTCTAAATAAACTAGTGTGTTTGCATTTAAAAATGTGACTATGTCAGTTTCTGTAATTAGATCCCTTAGCATCTGTTATTGATCATTCTTGCACTTCTTTAGCTTACACTTGTGAATCAAGTAAAATGCGGAGTATTACTATACAGAATAGCAATGTCAGCGTAAAGAAAACATCCATCCTGTCCAGATYTGCAGGGCCAGACAGACATGCTTGTTTATCAATCTAATTTGCTCTTGGCCCACAGTGTAGAAAGCTCTGTTTGACATCTGCAGAAAACTGTGTTTGGGCAGTTGGCGCCGCACTATCACGAGGAGAGGATATTCAGGCATTTGGGAGAACTAGTTAAAACTAGGCCTGAGGAGAGAGTTCATAGACAGGCACTCCCTGTTTTAGCACAAACTTGGACTGCCATTTATTTCTTGGGAATGACAATATGCAAAGAGAATGTGGAAATGAATATGACCTGATTCAGAGAGTGAGAATTTTCTCCTCCCAAACTCATTCTCAATGCTCTACAATATATAGAGCCCACAGAGACTGCTTTATGCTCTGCTGCTTTCTCTTCTGCAAGTAGTATTTAAGTCCTTTGTATTAAGCCRAGGTGTGCTGTTGAGGGCATCTGAAAAGGAGCTATACGGATCTAGTAAARACATTTCTTTCTATGTGTCTCTAAAGAACAGGCCCAAAATAAGGCAGATCTGAACAGTACATGTTCTGAATCTCTCATTTATCTCTTGAGCATAGCTTTGTAGCTATAACGAACAAAGTAGGCAATATATATTGATTGCTAAATCCTGCAGTGGTATAACTTTTGGATAAGTACACTAAAATATAACCAAGTTGAGACTATTTTTCACAAATAGTCTCAAAATCGTAGTGGATTTAATGCAGAAGAAGTGAAGCCCATGAAACCTAGCTATATGACAAATATCTTGAAGAAATGAGAAAACATGAACAAAAATGAGAGTCAGTTTGGACTTGATCCTCTTAGGATCTCCCACCGCTTTATTTCCTCATACTTCTCACATTTTAAATATTAAAATTTCAAAATAAGATAAAGACGAATGAGATTTGATATAGAACAC